CAGGCCATAGTTTGCCCACCTCTGTCTTAGAGAGAAGCAGTCTGAGCAAAGGGACAAAATGCAAGATTCAGCATAGAGCTTTTCAATGGCTCTTGTAGAGCTGTGACATCGAAGCAGCTCTGGGCCTGGAGGGGGTGCAGCATTTTCTACTGGGATCCCCACCAAAGCAGAATTTCCCATTGCAGTGCAGAGCCTAAAACAACACCGGAGTAAAGACAGACCGGACTCGCAGTGCTCCGAATGTGAAATAACACCAGTGAGGTCAAGGACATTACACCCGTGGGAGTGGGTGGAGAATCAGGCCCTCGGTTTCAGAAGTTTAGCTCCCTAAGGCTAGAGCATTAGAAAAGTGGCTACTGAGTTTGCGTGTCTCAGTTTTTGGGTACCCAATCTGAGATCCTTGGGGCCAAACTTTCAGAGGGGCTGTCCCCCCCACAACTCCAGCCAAAGTGAATGGAAACCTGTGGGTACTTGGCACTTCAGAAAAACCAGCCTTGGGTATCACAAGCTGAGTTCCCAGCGTTTGAGGTATCCTGAAGTTAGTGTACTCATTTGAAAATGTTGGACACAAACAGTTACCAGTAGCCCGCGTTGGCTTTGCTGTCCAGATCCGTTGTAGCAGGCTTGGGGCCCAATTTACTCTTGAGGTGCTACTGATAAAAATGTAGGACCCTATCCGATGGCAATGGAGATGCGTCACTGAGCACTGGATCATCCCGTCAGTCAGGTATTGGCGCATGCACACTGAACCTGCCCCATGTGAAACCAGTGCCACAGGGCCACGAGAACAGCTTCGCTATTGAACGTGGCTTGCTCCAAAAAGTCATGTCTCTGAGTCAGCCTTGGAAGTTTTGATATCAAATTCCCCTTGCTTTGAAGCAAAATGACTTGATTCTGAGTGTCAATGTGTGTTTGCAGCACCAGGAGGAGGAGGGAGGAAGTAGATGTTCCATCTGCTTAATTATTTTACTGTTGACTGAGTTTAGAAAAATCCCCGTGTGCTCTTCCTTAGCATGAGCCGCACTTTGCTTGTTGAGAGAGCCACCTGCTGTTTTCAGTAACCAGTTCTAAGATTGCTATTTCTTAGAGCCCTAGCTAGAGACACCACATACAACAGTCGTCTTGTCGAAGCAGGTGTGCTTGCATGTTAGCATCTTTCTACTTCTTCCAAGGGTGTTGCTCAATGGGCCTTCTGCGATAACCGAGGAGAATTGCAGAACATCAGGCCGTGCCTTGGTGGGTTTACTCTGGAAGTGTGGGGAGCTGGGGAATGTTGTGTGCACTTCATGCTGACTTGCTGCCTCATGTCTTACATTTTAAACCCCGTCCATTATGATCAGGGAATATACACAGAGAGTTGGGGGGAAACAATTCTCACACTGTCTGAAAGGCTGCAACATAACACGACTTTATTTCTTAGAATCCAGAAATCTAACACACACAAACCAAATGGAGCCAGAGACAAAGCAGGCTGCTCCCTAAGGCAGAGAAGCACAATTCATCCTACTGTAGGCTGGGTCACTGCAGACTGACTGCTGGCACACTTCCCTCAGAGCCCCCTAACCTGTCAGCAAGACCGGGAAGCCTCTTGGAACTTAATCGCTTGTAATTTCAATAGGTATAATTTTCAGTACCCTAGCCCCAAGGGAGTAGGGAGTTATCCTGGTTGTTCTGAGCTTCTGCAGAATCTCTGCTTTCACATAAAAAGAAGAGTAGGTTTCTAGCCTTTATGGTGGTGAGGGAAACTTGATAAATCTGAACTGAGTGTAACCAGTGTTGTATTGATCAGGGGTTGTGAGCATCTCTCTGGCCAGGGGGTTGCATTGTGTATGTCTGCCTAGAGCAGGGGGTGTGAGGGTGGGTGAGCGTGCCTCCATTTATCCAGGGGTGTGGAATGGGTATAAGTATGTGTCTCCATCCAGAAGGGTGATGGGGAAGGGTCGGTGTGTTCATCCCAGGGTTTGAGAGCGTGTACGTAAAAAGCCCAAGTGAATGAAAATGGGTGAAGTCAGTGCGCCCACAGGAGATTTCCCTCTCAAGAATAAACCTGGATCAGTTCGTTTCTTGCTGGGAGTTTCTACAGGATACCCTAGAGAACAGCCCATTGATCTCCCCTGCCGAGCTGTAGCTACACACCTCCTGCCTCAGCCATGCACACTGCTACTTAGGCCAGAATGTACAGTGGCACAGCTAGGTTGGTTAGAAGTGTGAAAGACTCCTCACCTCCTAGCTACGGAGCCTGGTTGGCAAAACCTGCAGGAGAGAGGCAGCTACGCTGACACCCGGGCAGCCAGAAGCCATCTGGTAACGTCGGTCAGGAGGGTGGTGTCCCTCTGCCATCAGAAAAACTCTTGTCAGCGGAGCTGTCTGTACTCGTGGCTCTGCCAGCGTCACTCTACTGCCATGGGCTCTGTAGCATGGACACGGCCTCAACTGCCTTCTTCTTTTACTAAGTCTCTTTGTCTCTTCCATTTTTCTCTCCTCTCTGTCTCTCTCCCACTTTTTAGATTCTGAGAGGCTGCTGAAGTGACCCACCACGCAGTAACACTGAGCACAGCGTTCAGACTATGCCTCGTCCCGTGCGTTTGTAGCAGCCCTCTTGCATTTGCATACACAGTGCGTTGCAAGCTAAGCTATCTTTTGCCTTCCTTGCAGCTGGCTCTGGTTCCTCACCTGCCCCATTTCTTACTGTAAAGCTTAAAAGCAGGGCATGCTTCTCCCTGCCCTGCATGTCTGAGACGGCCATAGCTCAGCAGCGTGAGCTGGCTCACCTCAGCCAGCAGTGCCCCCGCAGAGCCGTGGTTAAGGGTGCATTTTGAAAGAGCTGGTGAAGCCTGAATCTGCTGCTCAGCTGAACCCTGTCACCAGATTAATGGTGTCTCAAGCAGAGGGGCATGGGTGTGGAGCGGACAGTGCCTGTTCATTGTGTGATGTCACAATACAGCAATGCCGAGCGGGATGCTGCTTCCCCCTCCCGCTCCGGCTCTGCACTGCTCGTGTTTCTTGAACAGAGCCCCTGCGCTCACAAGCTTTGTCACTTTGCAGATCACACTGGAGTGGATCTGACCTGGCCCAGATCCTGAGGTTCTTACTCAGGCAAACATCAATGAGTGGGAATGACCCCTGTGAATTAGGCCTCGGAACGAGAGGGTCGCACATTCCATGGCTTCGGTAGGCTGAGCTCGGTGCAGCCCTCCATTCCCCCCGCACGCTCCCTGTGGGCCACCCACCAAGGGCCTCTGTTTCGGGGGTTCCCTGCAGCTCTGTGTGCCCCCTTTTATTTTCTCCTTCCCACATACTAGAGCCTCCCAGCCACCTTGCCAGGGGTTCGGTGTGCTCCCCGTTCTTCCCGCCCCCAGGACAGGAGCTGGGTGCACACCCTCATTCCCCTCACCATTATTCCCTGTCTTCAGCCTGTCTGGGAGGTCAGTGACTCGGGGTGTCAACATGCCAACTCCACTGGGTTGAGGGGCAGCGCTGCATTAGTATTATGGTTATGTCGGCAGGGCCGCCAGCCAGCTCTTAGGGCTCTAGACAACTGCAGAGTGCTTAAAGCTGTGGCTTTGCTAATCAGTGGCAAGGGCTCCCTGTGTGTCTCCTTCCCCCTTCTCATTTTCCAGTTTCCCCCCAGATCAATAGGGTTCTGCCTGGTGATGCCTAGGACATCCCCTGCAGGTGTGGAAGTGATCGGATGAGGTGTTCACAGACATGCAGAAAATGCCGGGAAGTGCAGTTGTGCTGAGTGTAAAGCCTTGTACGTTTGGCCAACTGTTCTGCATAGCTGGGTGGTGTTGCGTACAGCAGGATGTGAAGCATTGACTGTATTAATGCATTAGGGGCTGATCATAGAATCCTAGAATATCAGGGTTGGAAGGGACCTCAGGAGGTCACCTCGTCCAACCCCCTGCTCATCAGATTGTGCCATTCGGACGCCCGTTTGCTAGTCTGCATGAAATGAGCCTGTGAGCTCGGTCCAGGTCACTGCGGGCAGCACAGACCCCTCCTTCACAGTGTCCTTGTTGGCGTTGCTACTAAAAGCACCAAGGCGTCAATGGGAGACTAGTCTGTCATCCCTACAAGTGGTCCCTTCAGCGCCAGGTTGAGCCGTATTGACTCTGTCCTGTGGGGAAGTCTGTACACAGTGCCTGTACGGTAACTCGTTCTGTAGCTCAACAAAGGGCTTCCATCTCTCAGGCTATCCGCTTTTCTGAAGCATGAAATGCTTACTTTAAAAAGTGGTGTAAGGAGTTCTAAGAACACCCAGATGGTAAGGCCCTTATTCAGCAGATTCACTACTTAGAACATCAGCTCTTTGGGACAGGAACTGTCATTTTGTTCCGTGTTTGCACAGCGCCTGGTGCAGGGGGGCCTGGGCCACGATGGGGCTCCTACGTACTGCGGCAATGTTAATAATAATAAAACACTCAAGCACATGCTTAACTTTACGTTCCCGGGACTACTTTTGTGCTTAAAGATATGAATGGCCTTAATTGCTTTGCTGGGTTGGTAATACAATATGGGGTGTAACAGTCTTCAAGTACATAAAAAGTTGTTACAAGGAGGAGGGAGAAACATTGTTTTCCTTAACCTCTGAGGACAGGACAAGAAGCAATGGGCTTAAATTGCAGCGAGGGAGGTTTAGGTTGAACATTAGGAAAAACTTCCTAGCTGTCAGGGTAGTTGAGCACTGGAATAACTTGCCCAGGGAGGTGGTGGAATCTCCAGCATGGGAGGTTGTTAAGAGCAGGTTAGATAAACACCTGTCAGGGATGGTCTCTAATGTTTAGTCCTGCCTCAGTGCAGGGGACTGGACTAGATGACCTGTTGAGGTCCCATCTAGTCCTACATTTCTGTGATTTCTATCGCAGGGTTATCACTGACATCCTTCAGTATTTCAGAGCTGCAGTGTCCTTCTCTTTATGGTTCCTGGAGCCTCTCTGTGAGCTGCCAAAACAGGCTGTGTGCTCACAGAGAGCCTCTCTGTGCTATTTCCCCCCCAGGAGAGGTGGCTGCGGTGCAGGACACCGCTTTTGATCTGAGGAAGCCGGTGGAGCTTGGAAGACACATGCAGCAGTTTCAGCTCCCTGGCTTTGACCATAACTTCTGTTTGGAACGGTCGGAGGCTCGACGCTACTGTGCAAGGTGAGAACTCGATCGCCTCAGCTGTGTAAAGCCGTGGTGGTTCCCTGGCTTCAGGTCTTTCTGGTTTGTACCAGTTGTGCTTGAAGCACAGAGGGCATCGACTGGGGACTCCGAAGGAAGGTCCCAATTTTCTGTCCCTTCAATCTACAGGCCACCCATTACCAGGGTATTTGAGCCTCACGGTCTTTAATGTATTCTCCCTCACAAGAGGCCCGTGAGGCAGGGCCGGGCTGCCGTCCCCATGCTGCAGATGGGGAAATAAGGCACAGAGAGATTGAGTTGTTAAGGTCACAGTGGGAGCCTTGGGCAGGGAATTGAACCTCTCTCCTGAGCACTGGGCCGGCACCCTGACCACTGGACCATCCGTCTCCCCTCTCCTTGCCCTGCTGGCTCCTGTTTTTCCTGGCTCCCTGCCCCTCACTCTGTCTGGCTTACGCCTCCCCGGTCTATGCATTGCAGGGCCCTTTCCCTCCCCCACACCCTGCCTTGCTGCTCCCATCCTCTCCACTCCTGTCCCATAGGCCATCCACTGCCATCAGCCTCCTGTCAGTGGTGCTCCACGCCCTGCCCACCACTTTGTCTTCTTGGCCTTCTCGTTGCCTGGGCATTCAGACTGCACTAATTGCCAGGGAGGCCGAGTGCCCTATGAAATTGCATGAGCTGCAGGCTGATCTTCTGGTTCCTCTAGCAGGCTTCTCGTTAATGTGTCCTGAAGTGCTGGTCAGTTCTTCTCAGCCTGTCTTCTTTCCTTGCTCTCCAGCTTCCGTTCCTTTCCCCTCTTGCTTTCTGTCCTTGCTCCCTGGGTACAAAACTGCCTCTGGTCACCACCCCCCCCCAACCCCCGCTGGTAATAGCTCACCTTAAGTGATCACTCTGGTTACAGTGTGTATGGTAACACCCATTGTTTCATGTTCTCTGTGTATATAAATCCCCCCACTGTATTTTCCACTGCATGCGTCCGATGACGTCAGCTGTAGCTTGCTCAAATAAGCTGGTTAGTCTCTAAGGTGCCACAAGTCCTCCTGGTCTCTTTGTACAGAGCTCACCATCCCCCTAGTGGCAGGACGATGGAAGTTTATACCTCTCAGCCTGGGATCCAGTTCTACACTGGAAATTTCCTGGACGGCTCGCTGGAGGGCAAAGGGGGCTCTGTGTATCCCAAGCATTCAGCCTTCTGCCTTGAAACACAGAACTGGCCAGATGCGGTTAATAAGGTAACTATTGCTGTCCTGGAAATGCGTACCAGCGCTGCGGGGAAGGGCTCCTCTCCGCTAATGGCAGTTACACACACGCTCACGGAGACGCAACAGCTCCTTAGGTCGGGCCTACACGGCTTCGTACCAGTAGATCCATGTTGGTTGGGTGTGCGCCTCCTAATGTAGGTGCAGTAACTCCAGTACAAGGGGCCTTCTACCAGTGTGGCTTGGTCCCCTGCCTGTGTGGGACTAGCGATACCCGCACAAAGCACCGTTACACCAATATAACTGGGTCTGTACCTGGGGGGGATGGTGCATCCCTTTGACTTTACAAGTGGAATTAGGGTAGTACAACTCATGTGTGTAGACAAGCCTTTAAGAAACTGCATCTCTCGGGCCTTAATTCTGGAGGCTGTAGTTAGGCAAACACCCACTGAAGTCAACCCCCCCAACTCTTATGAAGAGTGTCCTGGGATCTTTCACAGCTGCTTTTCCGGTCACGCCCTCACCTGAGCAGGAATCTCAAGCCATGCATTGATTGCGGGGTCGTGACAAAATGCCACTAAGAGCACCACAAATAACCTCCCCTTCCTGGATCTCAGTTTGGACTCAGGTTTCCAGGAATGTATTAACCAAATGCACCACCAGCCCCGCTGTGTAACAGCCCTATCAAATGCCAGAAGCTGGGTGTGTAAGGAGGTAGCTGAATGCTTTCCTTGTAGGAGGAGGAGATATTTTCACTTGCTGAATGATTGTATCTTAGCAACCAGGGGGTCGCACACTTTGTTCCTTTTGTCAGGTGAGCTCATTGCACCCACCAGGGGCTCCCTGTAGCCCTCCATTCCCCCCAACAAGCTCTCTGTGAACCACCTCCCATCCCCCTCCATTTCAGGGACTCCCTGCCATCCCTTCCCTCATGCCAGGGGTTCTGAACTGTGTCTTAGCAATGAACGCTTCCTACAGTACTCAGCCCTGGCATCCCTTCGCCCATGCCCTGCTCCCGTTCTTGCAGGTATGTGAGAGCCCGTGAAAACACACGTGGCACCCTGCAGCCAAACTGTGAACAGCAATGTACAACTCATTTCACAATGTTCCCCTCCCTCGGGAGAGCTGCGCCTGGAACAGAACAGCTGTTTTAAATGCACAAAACAACGCTGAAGCTGAGGCTTAAAACAAACGTTAAACTAAGCAGTCTGAAGTAGCTTATTTGGTCCTAGCATTTTAACGTGTCCGTAGCTAGCTAACAATAAGCTGTATCGGGTTAAACCACCTTGCCTTAGAAGGCTACTATGAAAGTTCAAAGGAGCACGAGGGTTTTAGATCTTTTTACCAAAGCTAAAAATGGCTCTTGTTGAGCAGTGATCGCACTCAGCACCAAGCTGTGAGACTGTCAGATTGAAGAGACTGTGTTTTTCTTTCCACAGCCCCATTTCCCCAGTGCGCTGCTGCGGCCAGGAGAGGAGTATAACCACACAACTTGGCTCAAGTTTACTGCAGCTTGAGGAGTCACCTCTGCAGCCACAAGGAGAAATTCATCACAAAGTGCTCTGAGTATTGGGGAGGGGAGCAGGGGAAATCACTGAAAACAGCAGCAGGAGCTTTCAAACTTCTCCAGCACAGGCAGAGGTGACAGGTGCGGGGACGTCTCCTAAGGACGGGGTTTGTAAAAGCTCTCAACTCTGGCTTGACGGCTCCCATTGGAATCACTGGTAAATCTCCCCTTGATGTCAACAGAGGAAGAGTTAGGCCAGTGCTGAGGCCCTGATCCCCAAAGGGACGTGCACACCTAACTGCCATTGATTTCAATAGGAGTTAGGACCCTAAATACCTTTGAAACCTGCCCCTTAGTCCATACAAAACTTGTCTTCCTCATCTATCAATTGGACCGTGTCAAGGCCTCTTTTAAACTCCTCTCCCCTTTTTCCTTCCCCATGGAATCAAGTTTAAACCTTTTGTCCTGTCTTCCTTCCCGGCCATGCACTCTTCACTCATGGGACAAGCTTATCTTTGAGTGAGTCATTCCCACTTGCCCTGTCAATTCTGTCATGTTTGTCTCTTCCCACTCCCCCATCAGTGCTGCTTTCTGCACCATCCCTTTTGCCATTCAAGTGCTAACTAAAACCTCACTTCTGTAAACCAAAAATAAATCTACCCACTATTCCTTCTTTCTCTGTATCTGTATTTTAGGCCTGGTCTACACCAGAAACTGTTACCTGTGTATCGGTTAGGGGTGTGATGTTTTACCAGTAGTTATACCAGGAAAGGCACTAGTGTGGATGCAGGTAAACCGACATAACACAGATGTACTTATTTCCCTCTCATCTAGGTATAAAACAGTCCAACTTACTAGTGTAGAGAAGCCCCCAGAGAAAGAACTGCCTTTGTAAGGGTAGCTCATACTCATACAAGTAGGGACTGAAGCCAGGGGGTCTATGGCCTACATCCTCAAAAGCATTCAGCCACTTAACTCCCGTGGGCCTATGTGCAGGACTAAGGCCAGGTCTCCACAACAAGCTTTAGCCAGTGTAGCTATGTTGGGCGGGGTATCTGTTCCCTATACTGGTACTTACAGACTGATCAAATTACTCCATCTTCTCTTCCGTAAACTAAACAGATTGAGCATCTTGAGTCTTTGACTATAAGGCATGTTTTTTAATCATTCTCACCGCTCTTCTCTGCACGCGCTCCAATTTTTCAATATTCTTGAATTGTGGAGACAGACCTGGACAGACTCTTCCTGTAATAGTTACATCAGTGCCAAACACAGTGATAATATAACCTCTCTAAATCTATAGTCCCATTTATACACTCAAGGATCACATTAGCCCTTTGGCAACAGCATCATGCTGGAACCTCATGTTCAGCTGATTATCCACTGTAACCCCAAATCTTTGCTTCCTAGGAGAATCCCCCATCTTGTGAGCATGGCCTTGGTTCTTTGTTCCTAGATGTATGACTTTAGATTTGGCTATGCTGAAATGCATAGTTTGCTTGTGCCCCGTTAACCAAGCAATCCAGAACGCACTCTATCAATGTCCTCTTCATTATTACCACAGTGCTCCCATCTTTGTGTCATCTGTAAAACGATCAGTAATGATGATGATTCCCACTCAGCCCCTACTTCTTACTATAATTGTTGCCTGGTTCTCTCCCACTGAACATTCTCCTCCCAGCTCTAAGCCTGCAGGTTTTCATGGGCAGTTAGTTTCCTCTTGAACTTGGTCTACATGCACAAGTTACACTACCAAAAAAAAAAAAAGTGTTAAACTCGTGCAGCAAAACTCTGTGCTGACTTGTTTCAATTTAAGGGTTTGTCATTCCAGTTTAGTTCAGACCTGTTCCCAACCAATTAACCCCAAACCAGAATCAAGGAGCATCCACATAGGAGTTTGCACAGGTCTGACTAGATTTAAATTCACACATCTTAAACCCATGCAACTTTTCATGTACACAAGCCCTTAAACAGCTGTGGTTGTTAACAGCAATAACTAGACTGGCATCATTTCCAGCTGCTCACACCACCAGATGCTCTTAAGGTTTTCCACTACTTGCCAGTTTTTGTTTGCGGAAGAGATGCACTGTTGATAATAGCCCACTTTAATCGAATTGTCTCGACCCTCCACTTGGTAAGGCAACTCCCATCTTTTCGTGTACTGTTATATATATACATACACATCTTCCTTCTGTATTTTCCATCCATGCATCTGATGACTTGGGTTTTAGCCCACGAAAGCTTATGCCCAAATAAATTTGTTAGTTTCTAAGGTTACACAAGTAGTCCTTGTTCTTTTTACTGTATTACAACACATCACTGGCCACAGCTCCTTTACAGTCTGCGCTGCCCACTGTTTGGGCACTATGCCCCCTACCACAGAAGGAGGGACCCTTCCCTTTGAAACAGTTCTGCCCGCATATACCCTGATTCCTTACGTACTCCCATGACAGACCGTTAGCTGTGCACCAAACTGTTAAATCCTAAGGAAATGCAGTCCCAGCTGCTCCGTTTTCTGTGCTGCTCTGGAGGAGTGGAGAGACAGAAGAGATGGACCAATACAGTAATTTTAGAGTCTGCGTGTTTATTGTGGAGTAGGTTTGTCTTAACAGTACAGAAGAGAAAGCGCTCATTAAATGCAATAGCATCATTCCATGTGGCACTTTTACTAGTTATACTGTAAAACTGCCAGACAACGGACAGTCTATACTGATGAATGTCATCCTAAGCAATGGCTTCTGGGTATATTTGCTAAATTATTCTAGGAGAATGTTGTCATTTCCTGCTCCTCATTTTGCAGTCTGGTTTTATGGATATTAGCAGAATATTAATCACAGCATAATTAGGATTGGGAGTGATACTTCTGTTGCTAAGCAACAATGCACTGAATGTATGGAAATTAGACACCAGAAAAATCAAGACTAGGCATAAAAGCTAGGAAAGTGGCTAGTACACTTCAGAAATAAAGCTGCCAAGTGGAATATCTTCAGAGTGTAGGGAGTACTTAGGGGTTTTAACATCTACCAGACATAAGTGGAGTCTAACATTAAATGAGAAGTCTGTTATCTGAAAATTATGGGTTACCCAAAATTTGTCTTTTGGTCCAAAAGGTCATTTTGCTATTTAAGGTACTACATTAATAACTTCTTTTAATCTGCCATTAGCCATTTCGTTAGGAGCCCAAACAAGTCTGCTCTTTCCAATTCAGTGGATGTTTAGAAAACCCTAACAGTTCTTCTTAAATGTTGAAACTGACATCTAGCGACATTACATAAAGTAGTCCAGAATAAAAATATAACCTGGAGATTTTTAATATCTATTAAGAAGGATGCTGGCAGTCTAACCCTATTTTTGCCAATCAGGAAAGACCTATCTGGACAGCCAGTCTCAGTTTCAACGTGAAATGCCGTATCCCCATGCAACTCCTGCCTACAGACCAACAAGGCTTTCAGGAGTTTCACATAAGATTCATTTTAAGCTCTTCAACCACATTTTTCCTGTGTGCGCTATAGAGTTTATCTTACCAATGTCTAAACAGGTTTTGTCTACCAGCGATACAGGCTGCTTTTATGATTGTAAAGTGTAGCAGAACAGTTCTCAACTGCACAAGTTCACTCAGTTTCGTTCAGGTTTTCTCAGGTTAGACTAACTGACCATAAATAGGTTGTTGTAGAGAGAGCAACCCAGCTGCCTTTTCTCTCGGGACATGAACCGTTATTTAAAGGTGACCTGCAGTGCAAATACTGTGCTTGTGCCCTTCTGCTTTGTGATAAGAAAGGCTTTACTTTTTGTAAACAAACTTTAGACATTAGAAATTCATACTCTCTCTACACTGAAAGATTACAATGAATAGAGAGCTCATGTAAATGGTATTACAGGAAGTTATGGCAACTGAGCGATCAAGCATTTTTAGTCAGTGTTTAAAATTTTGTCATCATCCATTTAACATCAATAACAAGTTCACATAACTAGAGACTACTTAAAATAAACTGGGATGATTACGATTGGTTTGGGGTAGGCTAATGGTAGCCACCTTTTTTCTTGTTAAGCAGTAGGGCACCACAAGGAGGGTTTTAGTTAGAAATACACATTTTATTTCAATGCCTCAATAAAAAAACTTGTCAATAAAAGAGCCCCACATTTTCAGATCACAGGATGTTAATACATACAACAAAACAAGTTGTGCACTAGTCTACTGATGTGACTTTGCAGAATTTAAAAGATCAAAATCCATGCCAATAATCAGATTGAAATACCCTTCTAGAACTAAGCCCTTACCATTTACATCAAAGACACCACAAAATCCCTTATAATAATGTAAACAAAATAACGTTCTTCCCAGAAGGTTAACTTTGAAATTTCAGTCCATTCTTACAGGACTTGCACTCCTTCTTCGAGGGCTTCCTGACGGTGAATGACTGAAAGTGAAAAGAAAACAGGAGTCAGTTGGAGTAACTTCAGTATTCATCTGGAACTGCAGATTCAACACCACCCACCATACCCAGAAAGCACTTTCCTCCCAGCACTGATCAGCTTAGCGAGTTAGTTTTACACCTCTACCCCGATATAACGCGGTCCTCGGGAGCCAAAAAACCTTACCGCGTTATAGGTGAAACCGTGTTATATCGAACTTGCTTTGGCCTCGAGCATTTCCATTAATGGTCACTTCCCGCCCCCTGACTGACTCCTCAGAACCCCCGCCCCATCCAACCCACCCCCTATCGACACCCCCATCCCCTGACAGGCCCCCAGGATTCCAACGCCCCTGCTCCCCGTCCCCTGACCGCCCCGCCCCCAGAACCTCCGAACCATCCAACTCCCCCTGCTCTCTGTCCCCTGACTGCCCCCCAAGACTCTCTGCCCCTTATCCAACCCCTTGGCCTCGGCCCAGCACCCTTAACACGCCGCTCAGAGCGGCGTGTCGGAGCCAGACAAGCGGACGTGCTGATCCACCGGAGCGTGCAACCCCACCGCCCAGAGCACTGCTTTACCGCGTTATATCTGAATTTGTGTTATATCGGGTCACGTTATATTGAGGTAGAGGTGTACTTTTAAAACAGACCTTGCATACATACATTGTTAGACGATACCCTCAAGGATGTAAGAAATCTCAAGTTTGCTATAGTCATTAGTAGGATTTTAAAGTTTTTAATTAATAAACAATGCACCTTCAAGATTTGACAGTCATTTCTAAAGTGTCCAAAAGAACAGCAGGAAAAGAACAGAGTAAGGAGGAAAAGGAAGGCTACAAACAAGGTCTCAGTGTGGCATGTTACAAGCGACTCCCGTTCCCATGTACTCCTTCCCTCAGGAGATTTTTACCAAGCTTGGAAGAGCTGTCTCCAAGTGTTCAGAAGAGCATACTTACCCGAGTTAATGGAGAATGGTTATAAATGGCTCAGACTAAAATTGAAAAAACAAGGCTAGTGATTAATTACATAAAAACATACAGAAGTTCAAATAAGAACCGATCTGGGCTACACAAGGGAAATGTAGAGAATTTTATCCTGCTCTTACCGTGTAGGAACAGCAGACTGCGCAGCTATTTGTTAAAGTAGAGCCAGCAGCAAGGATGACAGCAGTTTGAGTCCATTCAGCCAGATGGGTGTTTGTTACAAGAAGTCTTTAGTTTATGTTTTGTTTCACACATTTAATCTGTTCCAGCTTTACTCTGAGCCATTTCCATTTCCCACTATTCTTAGTATTATTCAGATTTTTCCTCTGGCTACAAACATCACTTGAGAAACTGGGTTCAGTCCTTCTGAAGAAGGTTTAACCTTAAGCCAAAAGTAGCCACTGCACCTTCTACAAAAGAAGTTAGTCTCATTATAGTCACTGGAGTTTTTAAACAGACTGTTTAAAATGGATTCTCCCTGTGGCTATTTTCCCATAGGTTTCATGTATTTTTGCTTATCCTCTTGCATGGATCTCAGTTCAATGAAACCTTTACAGAGGATGGAAGTCCAACAGAAATAGCCCAAGACAAGCTCTTCATAGTGCACCATGTTCCCACTTTCTTCTGAGCGCCTCATTTTAGTAATCAGTGTCATATGCATTAAGGAAGCCCAGTCTCTCCAAAATATTCCTTTTAGTGCTTACAGTTAAGTAAAGGAAAAAGTTCCGGTAACTTCAGTGTTGGCAAATGCTGACTTTTCAGTAGTGATGACAGGACTAACACTGTCATATGTGCTACACCCAGTAGTCTTTAGTAGCAAGTTTCAACTTACCTTCTCTTTGGAGAGGGGGATCTGGACTTTGATCGGCTGCAAAACAGAAAGAAATACTAAGTGACAACTTAATAAAGTTACATTACATTATAACAAAACAATTTCTCCCGTACTTAAAAATAGTGAGAAAATCTCCAGAACCTTAGTCAGCATTATATATAGGTATCATTGACAACACGTCCAAAATCTTTTACAAGGATTTGTAGGGGCATCAAATTAATCCTCACCATCCCTACTAGAGCTGGAGCTAGATATGACTTTGCAGCAAACCCTTTTAGGTGTTTCAAGAACAATTTTTCTTAACTGTCACAACAATTCCGTGATATAGGGGTGGAGGAGAGGAACAAGTTGAAGTAAGAGGAATCTAGTGCAGGTTTCAGCATTACATGCTCACCTTTTAGCAGGTGAGCCAGATTTAGATCTACCATGGGACCCAGACCTACAATGGGAGAGAAATAAGGCTCAGCAAGGCACAAGTGGGATGTATGTACAGTGACGTTACCTAAACCAGTGATAATGAAATTCATACCACGTGCCAAGAAAACTGTGGAGGGCTAGTAACCAACAGGCAGAAATCCATCCGTGTGGGGGGCTTTTGCAGTTAAGTTTCAGAAGACAGCTTTTTAATTCAGTGCCACACATGCCGCAGTCATCATTCATCAACCTATTCTAGACATTACTTGAGACAGTTCGTATGAGTACATTGTCCAATCGAAGCTATGACTAGTATTTTCACAAAAACAATTGAGTGCTGTATTCCAAACTGGCAAGATTCCATTGGGATCTTCCACCTAAAAGCCAAGCTGTTTTCCAGACAGTACTCTCCTGCAACTCAACCATCATCATTTCAATGTTAACACCTTCGCCACTTGAAATCTTCAACCTTGGTTAAAAGTGTCTGCTGAAAGTGTGACATGTTTTCTAGCTATGAAAAGTTAACTGTTCTGAAAAGACTTCCAAAGGTGTCAGCTACATTGGAACAAGTTTGAAGTGCACCTCAATGTTACCAATGTTGTCCATAAAAGTAGATTAATTTTCATTTTCTAGATAGTTTAATCAACAAATAGTATTTTAGTTTTCCAGTATTCAAGCCTTTCCTCAACTATTTCAGCATTTCATAAGCTTTGATGTTGTCAGGATTGTGATCACTATGTTTAGGTAAACCTTGAACTATTACATTGAGTTCAGTCAGAAGAACACATCAAGTCATTCAACCACTGCACCCCTTAATGTCCTTTCTGAACCAAGAACTTGGTTTCTTTGAAACAAATACTGCCTTAGCCAAGTGACACTGCTGTACCTCAGTCCTAATATTAATTCTTGTAAGAATCTAGAGCTCTCAATCATCTAAAGTCACTATGATCAAGAAATTCACAATCTTCCTTCCTTACCAGCTTCACCACACCAAGTGTTGCTCAATTGCTTTTGCATAGACTTTCTTGACACACAAGACAATGAAATTTCACTCATATGGCCAATTAGTTTATGAAGATAATGCATGAAGCCTGCTACAGTAAACCATACTCTGAACTTTACTAGGGTTGCCACTTCCAGGTATTTTCAGAAGCAGAAACCTTGAAACAGGGCACTGATATTCTTTACTTATAGCAATTCCCAGTAGTGTCAGCAGTTAGTTTCTGCATTCCATCTCATGTGATGCACATCTTGCAGTGACTGCTGACCATTCCCAGGAGCATGCATCAATACTCGTGTAATGAGATATACCAGCATGTTTTCAAGGCAGATATAAGTTGCTCACTCATATTCATTTGTGTTTGATTCCCCCCAACTATTTCTGCGGTATGGCAACACTTGTGCCATTTTCTTTGCTCAGAAAATCTTTCAACAACAAGAATTAGCATGAGAGCAGTGCCTCCTTAATATAACCACCATCAGAAAAAAGCTGCTGTGTGATTCTGTGACATTTTAAAACTAGCAGCAGGATGAGAATGTTTAACTGGTTCTAGAACTTTTATAGCTCTAATGCCAAGCCTTCCCTTTGTTCTTCTGTAAAGAAGCCATGAGAATCGTCTGCTTACTTGAAAGTCTAATAGTGAATATTCTGAAACCATGCACAGTGAACAATATCAATGCTTCACTACTTTTCAGTTACTCGAGTCCTGAAATGGCCACTTAACTGCACACTTACAGTGAAACAGGTATGCTGTGAATAAGTTTAATGTTAAAATGGGAATTCTAGGTGTAATCCCTTCATCTGAGAACAAACTGCTGACTCCAAGAACACAATCCCAGTGCTAAAATTCAGTAGACAATGGTATGCAGGGTTATTCAAGAGTCTCCCTCGCTGACACGTAAATTGAGCTTGATTAGTTGTTCTCTGCACATCACTGGCATATGCCAATTAAAGTCTGGGCAGATTCAATGACGATGAAAAGAATGGCCAAGTGGAAAAGTGAACTTAGAGGAACAAATGTTAAGGCTCACTGTGGCACTTATGAGGTAACAGGTAGAAAGAGCCCACCTTAGCAGCAAGAGAAAGCACACCACACTTCTCCTCCCTCCAGCCTCCCCCACACTAGGCAGGGCTTCTCACCTCACTTCCTCCTGCATCTTACTGCACCCATGTCAGTATTTCTCCTCTCTTATCCACCGCCTCCTCCTTTGGTCCTTCCAGTTAGGATTCACCTCTCCTGCCCCACTACCAAGCAGGGCTTCCCCTCCTCTTCATCCTCCCCTTCCCAGAGAAAGTTCTCACCCTCTCTCCCACTTGTAACAGAGATCCTGTCTCTTGCCATCACCAGTACCAGGCTCTTCCTCCCCTCTAGGCAGGGGGCTGTCCCACCTACTCCCTCTAGGTGCTGCTTCCTTTACTTTCTCTAGGCATGCCCCACAACCCCACCCCAAACAGCAGGAACTACTGTTGCTGCTAGAAGAAATGGAAGAGATGCAGCTAGGAGAGAGCTCGTCTTTAATTCTGCAGCCCTTCGAGAGAGGGAGCAAAACCAACGGATGTAGTCAAGAGCAGAGAATGGAACAGAATCATCCGTAATCCTAAATTTTAATTCTATCTTTACATAACAGACAGCAGGAGACCTGGTCCACGAATGCCAGCTTTGCTGTCCATCGCACACCCATGCACGGACTGCAGCTTAGACCTACTCATTACAGAAGTATGAATGAGAACTCAGGCATGAAACATTTTACACACAATTCTTTAAATCTGGTTTGAGACATTTAATTCCTATGATCCGTTCTGTGCAAAACAATCCTCCACACTATTATGCCACCTTTTAATCTAATTCAGCTACCACAACTGACAATTGCTGCCCTGTACCGTTCAGAGATCAGCATTCAGAGAGTCTGAATCAGCAGTAACCAAGAATTTGGGCACTAGTGAGTCTTTCATGCACTTGTCCCAGACACATACCCAGGATGCTACAGAATACCGAGAATCTGGCATGGAGAACCCTTGGGAGAGGAATGCTTTAAGGAGTAGCACAACAGTACACTTTGACTTCCTGCAGGTTAGAAGCAGGAAGGAATTATGATCTCAAATGGGCAAGGTGCATTTAAGTACTAGGACTTACTTCAGTTTTAGGTGACTTATGTGTTTCTCATACATATTAACTGGCATACATGCATATTAGTCAAAAGTGGTTTATGTACCGAAGGTTTGCCTATTGTTCACCATCACAGCTCTAGACTTAAGGTGTCCTGTAAAACTGCAGGTAAAGTAATAAAATATATTATAAATAAGACTATGATGTACAGTTTTAGAATACTTCATACCCCAAACTTGCTGGAAAAGCAGTTTAGACAGCACCCAGCATTTACTTAGAATTGAAAAAAACTAATGCATTTGACCACAAGTTAATTCAGCCTGCAGCTATTAGTTAGTTGCTTTAATCAATTCTGTCAAAGATCTTACCTGCTTCTTGGCCATGTAACGGACCTGGATCTTGAACGTGATCTGGATCTAGATCTAAGTTTGAAAAGAAACTAATAAAAACCAATCAAGCTCCAGGAGAAAGTATTAAAGTCACCTATCAAAGTAGCCTTGTTGCCGATTGGTGCTAAGGTAACTGTCAAGATCACAGGACCTACAGGGTGCATAGGACAATCAGAACAGACACCTAGCTTACACAGAATAAGGCTATAGGTTTAACCATGTAGTCCCAAAAGCTCAGTGCTTGCCTAAATGGTGGGGTAATGTGCTGCACATTAATTTGTCTGTGTAGCCCGTTTTTGTTTGAAACAGCACTATGTTAAAGCACACCAGGGAACCTTTGTGCGCACCAGCAGGGTCTACCCAGATCAATTAACGCACAAGCATATTAATGCTCTTTAGAGATCACATCGCAGTACTGCACATTTCTGCTCTGTGTAAACAAGCCCTCAGAAAACTATTTTTTCACTATCTACTTTAGTTCAAGAGGAACTAAAGTTAATGTATTCCCCAATAGCCCTTTTAAAGGAATTATAGTTCGGTCTTGAGGGTTGTCAGGCCCTTTTCAAAGAGTCTGCTCTGCAAACACGTAAAGTTACACTTCCCACAAATATGTTCTGAATCTACCACCTTAATAAAAACATTATCTGGTAGTCATTGTGCATAATAACAATTACCTTGATCTTTTTAAAGAACCAGACCGGGACCTGCGGGGTGAGGCTGATCTAGATCTACGAGGAGAGACAGATCTGGATCTGCGAAGGGAAGCTGACCTGGACCTGCAGGGAAAAATTTAAAAATATAATTATGCAATGTTTGATTTCTCTTAAAAAAGGGAAGCACAAGACAGTCTGAAACGCACCTCCTACCACGGCTTCGGCTGCGTGACCGAGAATACCTTCTTCCTCTGGACCTTGAATGAGATCTAGACCGTGACCTAATGTTAGGTTAGAAAAAATAAGTATTAGAAAAGAACTTTAGCAATTAGTGCACTTGAGCCTCTGCTGAAGTCAAAATTTCAGACAACTAAAAATTAGTGTCTGTCAGTTGGAAAAAACTCAGGGCCTATTTGTTTTGAGTATTTTTACTACCTAGAAAAGATGTTAAGCTGAATTACATTTAGAATTACATTATAATATAAAACACTGTAATGTGTATTTAAAATAAACCTTGCAAGTTTGCAGGTCGACCCTCTTTGGCCCAAGGTCTAGCAGATCTAGACGATCTAGAAGTATCTATAGCCGATCGCTGCATCTAGGTGTTCTCTTCAATCTAACGACGATCAAACTGACAGCCAAATGAGCCAGGGTGAGGCTTGATTGACGCAAGAAGATTTTTCTAGGTGGGAATGTGGTCAATCTGGTGTTCCTCTTTCTAAACCGGAGGGGGGGGGGCCCCAATTGAAAGCCAAATTTACTGTTACGGCGATCACCGTCTCAAATTTTCTGCCCTTTAAAGAATATGGTGAAGCTAGGTGTAGATGGCTCGAGGGGATCTGGCCTCTTATGCTGATCACCTCAAGGTCTAGGAGGATCTTAATTGTCGGATTTTGCAAGGCGCCTCAGCATGATATCTTAAGGCTCGTGACATTCTGAATCAAGGCGACTGACTCAAACGAAGAAACCTGAAAGGTTTTGACCAGGTTGATTATTAATATATTAACATTTATATGAAATAACAAATTGTAATATATACCTGTATAATTACAGCATTAAAGTTAAATTAAACTGGCATAACATTCTCTCCTTGGCTAATGACTACACCAGTTACTGGTGAAAAGAACCAATCACTCCTTTCACACGCATACCTGCTCCTCCGTCGACGACTATAGCGATGACAGTCATAAGCATAATGGCCTTTCTCGCCACATTCATAACATCGGTCATTAGGATCAAATGGTCGCCGCGCAGGAGGTCTATCGTAGCGGGAGCGACGGGGCATGCCTGTTGACAGCTCAACTCTCACTCTGGAGCCACAAATCACCCTGTAATTTGATATATGCAAAATATCAATTAATAATCTGGTATTTTTCCTTATCTAATGCCTATTAAATAAGAAAGCCAATCTCTAAAGAATCACTAAAATTTGAGAATCCCATTTCTGTAAAAGAGTACATCTTTTAAGCTCTGGTCTACACCTAACACTTCGGTCAACCTAGTTATGTCGCTCAGGGTTCTGAAAAATTCTCACCTGAGAGATGTAGTTAAGCCTACACAAGCCCTGTTGTAGACACTAGGGATGTAAAATATTAAACGATCAAATGGTTAACCGATATTAGTCTTACCGTTACTATATTGCAGTTTACATTTAAAACAGATTGCCCCTGCCCCCACGTGCGAGCACACCATGTGCATTAACAAATCCGCCTCTTCCCTATCCTCCTCCTGCTCCCCACTCAGTGGCAGCGCCCAGGCAGGACAAGCCAGGCTGCCCTTGCACGGTGATGGCTCGAGAGCCCGTAACACCAGGGAGCGGGGGCGGATGAAACGCGTTGTGCTCTCGGGCTATCAATGCCGGTTCCCAGGGTTGGGTGCCTCACTCCCCACCAGGAGCCAGCACAGCAACCCCAGCCGCGCACATGCTCTTCCACACAAACATGGGCCCCCTGCCTGGGGAGCAGCCACCACCCCCCGTTGGCCCAGCCCCTCGAGAGACCCCTCACCATCTCGGGAGACTATGCGGAGGCCCTGGACACCGTCCAGACCCCTACTGTGTGGGCGGCTACTCAGGGCGCCGCTCACTGCTGCCACGTGATGTGGGTGCGGCGGGCTGAGGGGGCAGGTGGCGCTGGGCACTAAGTCTGGCAGTGCCGCTACTAGGGAGATCTCGCCACCTCCTGGCCTGGCCCATGGGGTGGCCAGGAAGCTGGGAAGCAAGGGGAACGTGACCGGAACTAGCCAAAGTCCCGCAATGCACCAAGGGAGACCAGACCACGTGAGAGGGGAGACTGGTGTTGCCATGACACCTCCCAGTCACTTGACAGGTTCTCCCTGCCACCATAATACTCCCAGATTACGTGATGGTCTCTCCCTCTCCCCCCACCTCCCATCGCCATGACAGTGTGTGGGGCGGGGAGGGGGGGGAATATGACGGGGTGCGAACTGGGGATGTAAAATATTAAACAGTTAACCGATAAAATTTTTAGTTGCTTAAATGGGTATTTTTTAAAATGATATTTACATCCCTAGTAGACACCATGAGGTTTATGGAAGAATTCTACCGTCCTTGTCTCTCAAGTCCTGGATTTACTGCAGTGATGGAGATACTGTTTCCATCCCTGCAGCAGCAAGTGTCTACACTACAGCGGGACGGTGGCAATGCTGCTGTAGCACTTATAGGTCAGACACATCCTTAGTAAGAAGTTAAGGCCACCAGAAATACAATACATTCGTACTTTCCATCCAAACCTCGAACTGCGTCTTCAGCATCTCTTGGGTCTTCAAACTCCACAAAGGCGAAGCCCGGCGGGTTCCGCGCGATCCACACAGTGCGCAGGGGGCCATAGTAGCTGAAGGCTCGCTCCAGTTCTCCCTTCCCGGCCCCAGTGCCCAGGTTCCCCACGTACACCTTGGTCTCTGCAAGAGCAAATCACACAATCATTGAGTAACTGAGTAGCCCTTTCCCTCCCTCCCCCAAGACCTGCAGGGTCGCCCCAGTTAAGCAAGGCGGCTGGTGTAAAGTTACAAACTGCTGATCATCACAATTTGCTACTGGCAGAAGTTACTGACATCTAGGTGTTCTTTTTGCTGCCCTGTCACAATCTGCTGCCTCTGACTTTCCCATACTCCCATCCCAGGTAGCAAATTATGACAGATGGGGTAGACCCATCACAACTTTCTGTGGGGGGGTGGAGGGCGAGAAAACCTGGATTTGTGCTGGAAATGGCCCAACTTGATGATCACTTTAGATAAGCTATTACCAGCAGGACAGTGGGGTGGGAGGAGGTATTGTTTCATATTCTGTGTGTGTATATAAAGTCTGCTGCAGTTTCCACGGTATGCATCCGATGAAGTGAGCTGTAGCTCACGAAAGCTCATGCTCAAATAAATTGGTTAGTCTCTAAGGTGCCACAAGTACTCCTTTTCTTTTTGCGAATACAGACTAACACGGCTGTTACTCTGAAAACTTTCTACCTCTCACCTTCCCCGTCCCCGTCAAACTGGTGGGCGCAGAATGTATTCGGGGGTATGGGGGGTTGAGACGCTTTATGGGGAAAAAAATAACTGCACACATTTTACCCACAGCAATGAACAACTAGCAAAGCGGATTCCTCCAGACATGTCAGGTCCTCAGACGGCGCTGTGCCCTTGACTCTAGATGGCGCTGTGCGCTTGACAGATTTCTGTTTAGCTTGCACAGCATTATCCAAAGTTGTTGCCATCTGTACATTCGATGCCATACTGTTTTTAATATTTAGTGAGAGTTGCATGTTGATGTTTTAAAAATTGGCATATGTACTAGTGTGGCAGGGGTGTGGGGCAAATTACTACAGACACAAAGAAGGCGGCATGATCAGGGGTTAGAGCAGTGGCTTTCAACCTTTCCAGACAACTGTACTCCTTTCAGGCATCTGATTTGTCTTGTGTATCCCCAAGTTTCACCTCACTTAAAAATTATTTGCCTACAAAAATCAAATAAAAATACAAAAGTATCACAGCTCACTGTTACTGAAATAGTGCTGACTTTCTCATTTTTACCATATAATTATAAAATAAATCAACTGGAATATAAATATTGTCCTTACATTTCAGTGTATAAAGCAGTATAAACAAGTCATTGTCTGTATGAAATTTTAGTTTGCACTGACTTCACTAGTGCTTTTTCCGTGGCCTGTTGTAAAACTAGGCAAATACCTAGATGAGTATACCCCCTGGTTGAGAACTACTTGGTTAGAGCACTCAGCTGAGATGTGGGAAACACTGTTCAAATAATTTTTCCTCCCTTCTGCCTAAGGGAAAATGAACTTGGGTACCCCACATCCCAGGCAAGTGTACTAACCACTAGGCTAGAAGTGATAAGGTAAATGGTAACCACATCTAATAGGCAGCCTCTGAGCACAACCACAGGATCAGGCCCACATGCAAAATAAGCATTGCCTCCCACCATCTTCCCTGGTTTGTGAATTGCTCTGCGTCTTGGGTGGGATACAGGTAACCAGATGCCTAGAGTAAGGCAGCAGTGTGCATGCTTAAAAGTAGACACTTAGGCACCTAAGGAACTTTTACCCTTAGAATATAAAAACCGAGTGCTTAAAGGGTTTGGTGAGATTTTTGGGAATTTCAGTGGAACTTAAAATTGGGACACAGGCATCTAAATCTTTGTGAATCTCTTTATAGAGGAAAAAGAGGACCCAGGAATTACAGGCCAGTCAGCTGAACTTTGATACCGAGAAAGATACTGGAAATAATTATTAAACAGTCCATTGGTTAAAACCTAGAGGATATAGGGGGTTATAAGGAATAGCCAACATGGACCTGTCAAGAACAAATCATGCCAAATAAACCTGATTTCCTTCTCTGGTAGGATTACTGTCTAACTGGATGGGGGAAAGCAGTAGATGTGACATATCTTGATTTTAGTAAGGCTTCTGACACAGTCCCACACGACATTCTCATAAGAAAACTAGGGAAATATGTTCTAAATGAAACTACTATAAGGCAAGGGCATAACAGGTTAAAGATGATACTCAAAGAATAATTATCAATGGTCAAATTGGGAGGGTATATCTAGTGTGGACTTGCAAAGGTCAATCCTGGGTCCAGTACTATTCAATATTTTCCTTAATTACTTGGATAATGAATTGGAGATTAGGCTCATAAAATGTGCTGATGACAGCAAACTGGGAGGGGTTGCCAGCACTTTGGAGAACAGGAGTAGAATTCAAAAGGACCTTGACAAATTGGAGGCCAGCAACTGGCTGATTAGCCCCACTCACTGCACCTGGGAAAAACACCTGTGGCTTAACTGGTTGATCCTCATAAAAGGAAGAGCAGCTCCTGGAACAGAGGAGCTGTAATACCAACCAGAGGCTAGAACAGCTATGCTAAGGAACAAGTGGATAGAGGGCAAACTGTGGGTAAATCCTTTTATCACAAAGGCTCTGAGGTAAGAACCAGGAACTTTTGGGTTGAAGAACTTATGGGTTTGAGGGACAGACTTGAAGTTTAGATCTTGTTTTGTTGAGGAGATTTGAAATAACAGAAAGAAACCACAACTAACCCTGCTAGAAACTACCTCCCTGGGCTCTGAGATGGTTCCAGGCAGAATTCCCCCAGGGAAGGGGCTATCTGAGCAAGTCTACACCCAGCTGGAAGAGGGTGCTATAAAACAGCCTCCAATCCCTTACGCTTCCACTCTATTTAAGGATGATTCTGGCCAGGTGATCAACTCTGCATTCTGTACAGGTGCTAAGACACAACATCTATGTTAGCTGAAAGGATGCAACAAAAATATCATACTGACCCACAAAGGGATGAGGGCAACCACAGTAATAGACTCATTAACATTACCATCATAATGTAAGACATTTGTATGTGTATGCAGTATTGTTGAAAACTTTCCTGGGATAAGATATGGTTTATAGTTGGGTAGCAAGCAGGTAGAGGCAGAAATTAAAGAGGAATCTTCACAGTTAAAGCACTAAACATGTGAACCAATTGGCTAATTCTAATGGGATAATAGTACCACCACTTTACATGCATTGCTCAGAGATGGAAACACTGTACACGTATGCCACCACTCTCTGCATGCACAGCATCATCTAGCACGATGCTATCAGGCCTTCATTCTCCAGCTCATGAAAGATGCCCTGATCAGCACAGGACAGGAAGGAAGAGCAAGGTAACCTGAAATGTTAAGGTTAAAATTTAAGTAAGTGGCTTAGCAGACTTAAATTGATACCACTGAAATAGTGCAAAGGCTTTTCTGTAAACTAAGACAAGTATTCCAGTACTACATGCCTACTCTTTGGATACAAAATGTGGCTAAACCTGGACTGGTTCAAATTTTAACTATTCAAAACCAGCCAACAGTCTGATTATTAATAGCTTGTTGGGGAAGGACTCCTGCAAGCATTTTTGATTGCGACAGTTAACACTGGCCACTTTACTTTTGAGTGAAAACATTCACACAGGATATATATACACACACTAATTTCACACCCTCTAGACATTCCCTTAATAAAAGCCAATAAGGCAAATTGAGGCAAACTATTAAAGCATTTTGAACTAAAGGAATTATCTGGTTTTCCATGACACCCACACAAATGGAGAGCTGAAGACCTATAGACGCAAGTACCTCTGATGGCAAAGAAGCAGAACTAACCACACAATTGGTATCTGTCAAGCTATGAGTGTTTAATTTAACGGCCTAGCCAGAATCAAAGTCTGTACCTTCACTGTTACAAATGTGGGTTTTTAAGTTTGGGGTTTTAGGGTTTTTTAAACCGATTAGCTATCCTCTCCAAAAACCTACTGGAAACACAGCATTCTAATTTAACCAAAAGACAACCAATACAAAAGAGTAATGGCTTTTTTTTTAAAAGCCTTCATTTCTGGCAGAACATTAAAATTGTCAGAATGAAGAACATCTCTGAAATGTAGCATACAGAAGGCTATCAGAAATATAAACAATGCAGTAGAAAACATTTATGCATGCAACAAATGAAATAACGAGGAAAGTGTGCATTTCAGCATTTGCAGAATGGGGAATTACTTGGAGAAATAAGGAATTTTTTAAAGCGTTTTCAATAAGGGGGGAGGGAATCTCATTACTGGATGTCCAAAACTGTATTAATGTTACAGGAATGTACAACTGTTCTAGATATGAATTTTTTGGGAGAGGCAACAGGAAAAAGTATAAAACTAGTGTGCCTTACCTCAAACAAAAAGGCAAACTAAAATAACCCCTATTTTTAATTTCATTACTTTTGTGGGTGTATGACTCATGATGTTTGAATACTTGTCCGTCTTGGGGTTGTATTCTTAACTTTTTTAAAAAAAGCGGAAATTTTCCTTTGAGAATTATTTCATACAAGATAGTACAGTGCCCTGAGGGCCAAAGTGTGTTTGTGGTTTTTTTTTAAAGGTATTTAGGAAAATAGTGAGATTCTCAAAAGCATCTAGGGGCTTTCAACCTTTGCAAATCTGGCCTGTAGTGAATATTGTGGAACCAGGTTCCACACAACTGTTGATCTGAAAAAGCATAAGGGTCCTGGAGAAAGTGGCAAAACGGCACCTGACGAATGCAATCCCCATGCGTGGATTAAAGGAAACTGAAGAAGCTGATACCAACCCAGGAAATCTGTCAGCCTTGATGTCATAGGATCCTAAAGAATAAACTTAGTTCTGAATTTCCCCCTTCTCCCCCCCTTCTTTTAAAGAACAAACTGCTAATGCCACCATACAAACACAGTGCTGTCGGAGGAACCGTGAGAGGTGATTAGAAATATTGGGGTTAGGAGTTTCCGCAATGATTATTTGCTCTTAAAAATATGCACCAGGTCAAGGCCGTGCTCAGAGTAATAAGTCACCTTTAAAATGAAGTGAAAGGCAGGAATTTACACCCACAACACGCCTCAACCCCCGGGGTGCGCACAGCTTTACGCAGACCCCCCCAGCTGAGGGGGGTTTCTCGCCAACACTAAAAAGGGACCCCCCCCCCTTAGCACGGGGGGGGGGGGCAGCGACTAGGCCCAGGTTCCACCCGAACCTCCCTGCAGCAGGGGCCGCCCTGAGCGGGGGGAGGATCCGGCCCCGGGCAACGGCTGCTGAGCGGTACAACCCTGCGGGGGGGGGGGGGGGGGAGAGACCCCTCGGCGACCCCCCCCTCCGGGCGGGTCACCACTGCAGCTACCTCGCGCCCCCCGCTGCGGGACTCGCCTCTGCAGCCGTGTGCGCCCAGCCCCCCCCGGCTCGCACGCGCATGCTCCCTGGCAGCCGGGGGCGCCCCTCCCCCCCCGAGGCGCCCAGGGGGAGGCGCTGCGCGCGCCGGCGCTCGCGGACAGGCCCCGCCCCGCTCTGAGGCGCCGCCATGTTTGTTGACGCCGCGTCCGTTTCGCTCCCCCGCACCCCTCCCGCAGCCCGGCGCTCCCGCCGCAGCCCGGCCCCGCACCGCCCCTACGCGCGGGGAGCCGCGGCCCTGGCCCGGCGCGCGCCCGACCTGCGCAAAATGGCGCCGCCCCAGCGACCCCCGCGCAGGCCACTCCCCCGAGGAGCGGAAAGGCGGGGGCGGCCCCTCCACAGCCAGCCCGGCACCTACCGCCGCCATAGCGCCCGTAGCGAGACATCGTCGCGGCTCCGGCCGTAGCTCCGCGCCGGGCCGTTCGTGCGCATGCGCCGGGAGCCCCTAAAGGAGCGACTGCTCTCGCGCATGCGCACGGCACCCCCCCGCCCGTTTCTGCGCGCCGGCTGAGGCAAAGCGGGAAGTGGAAGCTTGGTTTCTATAGCAACGCGCCGTCGTGCCGTCCGCCATGTTCTCGAAGGCGGCGGCGGGCGAGCGCCCGGAACTTCCGGCCCGGGGTGTCACGGGCCGCGCCGCAAGGGTGGGGGCCAGGCCCCTGAAGAGCCCCTCTGGGGGCAGGGCCCATAACCCCAGAGGGCGGGGCCCCAGTGCAGCGGGGTGGTGGGGCGGGGCCTGGAGCCCCAGGGGGCGGGGCCCCAGTGCAGCGGGGGAAGGGGGTGGTGGGGCAGGGCCCATAACCCCAGAGGGCGGGGCCCCAGTGCAGCGGGGGGGAAGGGGGTGGTGGGGCGGGGCCTGTAGCCCCAGGGGGCGGGGCCGGACAGGGCCCCCGGGTGGGGGGCTGCGCCTAAAGCCCTAGAGGGGCGGTTCCCTAGGGCGGGAGCGGGGGCCGGGGTCGTGGGATTTAGTGTGACTCATATAACGTTACTGGGCCTTGATAATCTTCTCCCCTCGGCCTGCTGCTGTCCACACCTCCAGGGGTAGGTCGGCTGAAGGGCATCGCTAAGGGCGGGGGGTTTTCACCCCGCTGAGCGACAGTTGTACTGTGGGATTACTCGTGGCTGTAAAGTTAAGCATGTGCATGTTTTCAGGACCTTGTCTGGGAAGTGGCGGTCCTAACCATACCAAAACAGGAGTGTGCATGGGGGGGGTAAGCAGGGGTACAACCCCTTCCCCCCCCAGTCAGGGGCACAGAACTCTGGGGCAGGGGAGAGCATCCTCCTCCGGCCTGGGGCTGCACAGCAAGGGTAGGAAATGGCAGCTCCTCCAGAGCTGTGAGAGGAGGGAGGGAGAGCTAGCTCCTCTGGGCTCCGGCCACGGGGAGCACAGACATTTTTTATTCCTGTGCACGCTGCTGGGAACTCACATCTTATTCAGACGCACAGAAATTGAGAGAGAATAATGACTGACTTCCCATCAAAAATCAAGTACCATATTCAGTATTGCTGCTCATAATATTTGAGGTTTTCCTTAAATACCCAGCTCCTGGAGGCAGGTGATTAGGGAAGAATCTCAGCTTTTTAATTAAAAAAAAAGTGTGCATCTAGCTCTCATAGTTACAGAGAAACATTTGTAAATGTGACCCATATGCAGAAAGCAAACAATATCATCTAGCTCTTATATAGCCCTTTTCATGAGTAGATCTCAATAAAATAGGTTATTTTTATTGAGATAACTTTAAAAACCCCCAAAACTCATGATTATTAAGCCAAACTAATGCTTTTTCTGGCCTTGACTTGTGATTTGTTAATATTCTGGGTTGGCAACACTGTCTACACCTAAAATACTGGGTTTCCTTTAAATCTCACGGAAATTGGAAATAAAAAGCATAATGATTTAAATATATTTCATGCAGCCCACCCCCCCGTTTATTGGTAATATGCGTCCAATCCATTTTGTAAAACGCCCCAAATATATGCATGTTTTTGTGAGATACGGTTTTGTAGCCAAACGTTTCCAAGCTATTGAAACCGAAATTTACAGTCGAAAAAACCCCAGGGGGCTGGAATGCGTGGAGTTTTTTAGGAAGACAGATGCTGAGCACGTTACTATTTTAGTACAGATCCCTGTAATGTATTAAATTTTCAATTGCATATGAGCTAACAGAAGCACGTGAGCCACTCCAACAACGCAACACCGGTAGCAATGAGGAAAGCGAGAGTACTCTCGGAGGATCACTGGAAAACTACAGAAGAGGGTCTTCTGGGGCCAGGAAATGAGGTCTCTGAGCAAAGCGTGCTGGGTTGCACGGTTGGCCATGCGTTTCCGGGCGCGGGGATGGTGTTGCTGGAGGGGAAGGCTGCTGGCAGACAGTCTATCCAACGGGAGCTTGTGAGTGTGAGCCAGCTGTTCGCTTCGGCACTGTTGCATGTAAGTCAACAAAAGCGTGGTTGTCTGGGTGGTTTCAAGGGGTTTTTAGTGCTGCAGAGTACACTGGCCTAGATCATGTTGGCTGTCTACTGCAGGAAGCGCAATTCAGTGCCAATAAAGATTTGAGCAGGGGTCTCAGACAGTCTGCTTTTTCTGTTGGCCTGTGGTGGCGAGCAGGCTCATGGAAACAAGCTTGGTTTAAGTGAGCATGAGTGCATGAACAGAGCAGAATAGCAAGGACACTTTGCAACCAGCGGAATGTGCAGTGTAGAGACATTAAGAGGCCGGGATCCTGTAAACAATTCCACGCTGGCTTAGTTTTGAATAGTCCTATTGAATATAGCGTCTGCCTAAAGTTAAAAACAAATGTCTTTGCGAGACTGAGGGCCTTAGATTGTAAACGTAGATTGTAGGGCAGGGACAGTTTCTTCCTCTGTGTTTGTACAGCATCAAGTACAAATCCTGAGTGGGGCTCTGCACTCTACATGCCGGATAATGGGCATCGTTAGGAAAGGGAGAGATAGTAAGACAGAAAATATCATGTTGCCTCTATATAAATCCATGGTATGCCCACATCTTGAATACTACATGCAGAGGTGGTCACCCATTTCAAAAAAGATATATTGGAATTGGAAAAGGTTCAGAAAAGGCCAACAAGAATTATTAGGGGTATGGAACGGCTTCCATATGAGGAGAGATTAATAAGACTTTTCAGCTTGGAAAAGAGATGACTAATGGGGAGTGTGATGGAGGTCTACAAAATCATGACTGGTGTGGAGAAAGTAAATAAGGATGTGTCATGTACTCCTCATAACACAAGAACTAGGGGTCACCAAAAGAAATTAATAGGCAGCAGGTTTAAAACAAACAAAAGGAAGTATTTCTTCACACAACACACAGTCAACCTGTGGAACTCTTTTCCAGAGGATGTTGTGAAGGCCAAAAATATAACAGGGTTCAAAAAAGAGCTAGATAAATTAATGGAGGATAGGTCCATCAATGGCTATTAGCCAGCATAGGCAGGGATGGTGTCCCTAGCCTCTGATTGCCAGAAGCTGGGAATGGGCGGCAGGGGATAGATCACTCGATAATTGCCCTGTTCTGTTCATTCCCTCTGGGGCACCTGGCATTGGCCACTGTCGGAAGACAGGATCCTGGGCTAGATGGATCTTTGGTCAGACCCAGTATGTCCGTTCTTATGTTTTAATAGAACAATGGTTCAGAAAAGCAGAGGGTGAACTGCAGGTTCCATGATCCATGCAGAGGGGTCTAGGAAGTGAAGGACTCTCCCTGCCTGCTGGTGCTTTCCTCTCCCCAAATACAGTGGACAGGAAGTGGAAGAGACTCCCAGTGCTCCCTGCCTCTGCGCAATGAAGAAATGGGCTTCTCCTGGCTCTTTTGGACTCAGCCCTGTACACTCCTCTCCCTCTTCCACCCTGCACTCAGTTCCGTGGAGGGGTCCTGAGAAAAGGAGATGCCTTCCTGCCCCAAACTGAGAAACAGAAGAAGCTGTGCTGCTGTTACTGATCAATAAGCCTTTGGGAAGGCTTGAGGGAGGAGTATGTATCTGAGCTCCCCCCATGGCAGGGCACAGGAATGATGTGATAAGAACAGACATACTGGGTCAGACCAAAGGTCCATCTAGCCCAGTATCCTGTCTTCAAACAGTGGCCAATGCCAGGTGCTTCAGAGGGAATGAACAGAACAGGTTTCAGAGTGGTAGCTGTGTTAGTCTGTATCAGCAAAAACAATGAGGAGTCCTTGTGGCACCTTAGAGACTAACACGTTTATTTGGGCATAAGCTTTCGTGGGCTAGAACCCACTTCATCGGATGCATGGTGTGAAAATAAAGGAGCTGGTATAAATACATGAAAGGATGGGGGGTTGCTTTACCGAGATTAAATCAATTAACAGCAGGATACCAGGGGAGGGAAAATAACTTTTGAAGTGGTAAGAGAGTGGCCAATTACAGACAGTTGGCAAGAAGGTGTGAGTAACAGTAGGGAGAAATTAGTATTGGGGAAGTTAAGTTTAGGTTTTGTAATGACCCAACCATTCCCAGTCTCTATTCAGGCCTAATCTGATGGTATCTAGTTTGGAAATGAATTCCAGTTCTGCAGCTTCATGTTGGAGTCTGTTTTTGAAGTTTTTTTTGTTGAAGAATGGCCACTTTTAGGTCTGTTATTGAGTGACCAGAGAAATTGAAGTGTTCTCCTACTGGTTTTTGAATGTTATGATTCCTGATATCAGATTTGTGTCCATTTAGTCTTTTGCGTAGAGACTGTCCGGTTTGGCCAATGTACATGGCAGAGGGGCATTGCTATCACATGATGGCATAGATCACATTGGTAGATATGCAGGTGAACGAGCCCTTGATGGTGTGGCTGATGTAGTTTATCTCGTTAGACTGACCTCACACTTGGTAAAGCAACCCCCCATCCTTTCTTTTGTATTTACACCTACTCCTGTATTTTCACGCCATGCATCCAATGAAGTGGGTTCTAGCCCACGAAAGCTTATGCCCAAATAAATTTGTTAGCCTCTAAGGTGCCACAAGGACTCCTCGTTGTTTTTGCTGAACAGAACAGGTAATCCTCAAGTCATCCATCCATGTCATCAGCTAGCACATGAGGCTGGAAGGCAAATGCACTGCCGAGAGTGACCATGCACAAAGGGTGCTCAAATGTCCACTGTAAACTGACAAATCTTTTTCTGCTCTTCTCAGTGACCGTGATGGTAAGATTTCAGAGTAGAAGCCGTGTTAGTGTGTATATGCAAAAAGAACAGGAGTACTTGTGTTAGTCTCTAAGGTGCCACAAGTACTCCTGTTCTTTTTAGTGATGGTAAGAGTTACTTGGGCCAATAGTAGAAGGTACATAGTCATCTCAGTGGTTACATGTGCCAATAGAAGGTACACATTTTTGTGTGTTAGAAATATGTGTGTTGGTTTTTGTGTTTTTAGCTGTGTGTGCCTTTAAAAACAACAAATGAAGGAAGAAATGGAAGTGTTTTTATTTTAATGAAGAAGTCAATTTTGATGTAAAAAGTGACTAAGCTGATTAAACAGAAAAGGGAGGCAAACTCAATGCTGTGCAAAGGGTTGGAGTAGAGGCATCTGCTGTTGCTAATAACTACACTGATTGCTCTTTAGGTTCAGTGAGTGGGAAATATGAGTGAATGGCAGAGGAAAAGTCCTTTAGAGTGGCAGACTTATGTGAACAAAGAAGTAAAAGTCACAGCTGCTGAGAAACATGAATACGAAGGATGGGTCTTAACAATTGACCCAGTTTCTGCAAAGTAAGTACAGAGCTGTTATTTGCTTATAACAAAGAGAACGGTGATCTGATATGGAAAGACTGAAGCTGCTGAATCTGAAGCAAACTTGCTTGAAGCAGAAATGGCACACTGGGGCTTTGGTCCATAATTCTATATCTGTGCTAATTAGCAGGGCCAAGAGGAAGGGGATGCTAGGAGTCATAAGGATCATTCATATGATTTCAGAGGGTTATCTAATTTGAGAGACAAATAGGTTTGGGGAACAGATGGCACCCAGGAGCTTGGTTGCTCTTGATTCATGCCAAATTTGCTGTGCATTTTAAGCACTCTTAAAACATCATCACTGCTTCTGTGTAGTGCTGTGTTTTAAATATAGTATGCATTTGGCCTTCGTCACATCCAAGAGAGAGCCAAGAGGAAGTATACAAGGGAGCTTAGCATCTTAAAAATACCAATCTATTTTCCTGTTAAATATCACCTAAAGCCCCAGTTCTATACTGTAATCCATAGGGTGAACTGATTTGCACCAATGCAGATCACAATTGGGGCTGAAGATAATTAAAAGCAAATTAAAAAAAAATCAAACTTTACACTATGCTTTGTTTTTGTAATTTATTCATCTTGGACAATGGAAGTAGATAAATCAGTTTATTTTCTGTTCTCATGGGCTAGCACAAGTGATTTTAGGCTAAAAACACTGCAAGGGGATGTTTATATCCAAGCAAAGTCTTTTAGCTAAAGAGAGAATGTACCAGAGGGGAGAGGATGCATAAATTCAACATAAGGGCTTTGCATTATTATTTAGTTGGGAATTGAAAGTCGTCTACTCTGTGTCTTTATGGTTCCTAGCAAAATGGGCCCCATTTTTTGTTGGCCCTTAGGCATAAGTGTAATAAATGTGATTTAATAATAATTAGGGCTGTCAAGGGATTAAAAAAATTAATCTCAATTAAATTAATTGTGATTAATTGTGCAATTAAACAGTAATAGAATACCATTTATTTAAATATTTTTTGATGCATTCTATATTTTCAAATATATTGATTTCAGTTACAACACAGAATACAAAGTGTACAGTGCTCACTTTATATTTTTGATTACAAGTATTTCCACTGTAAAAAAACCCCAAAAGAAATAGTATTTTTCAATTCACCCAATACCAGTACTGTAGTGCAATCTCTTTATCATGAAAGTTGAACTTGCAAATGTAGAATTATGTACTAAAAAACAAAACCATGTAAAATGTTAGAGCCTGCAAGTCCACTCAGTCCTACTTGCTCAGACAAACAAGTTTGTTTACATTTGCAGGAGATAATGTTGCCTGCTTCTTGTTTACCATGTCACCTGAAAGTGAGAACAGGCGTTCTCATGGCACTGTTGTAGCCGGCGTCGCAAGATATTTACGTGCCAGATGCGCTAAAGATTCATATGCCCTTCATGCTTTAACCACCATTCCAGGGGACATGCATCCATGCTGATGACGGGTTCTGCTCAGTAACAATCCAAAGCAGTGTGGACCGACACATGTTCATTTTCATTATCTGAGTCGGATGCCACCAGTAGAAGGTTAATTTTCTCTTTTGGTGGTTTGGGTTCTGTAGTTTCTGCATCAGAGTGTTGCTCTTTTAAGACTTCTGAAAGCATGCTCCACACCTCGTCCCTCTCAGATTTTGGAAGGCACTTCAGATTCTTAAACCTTGGGTCGAGTGGTGTAGCTATCTTTAGAAATCTCACATTGGTATCTTGTTTGCATTTTGTGAAATCTGCAGTGAAAGTGTTCTTAAAATGAATAACATGTGCTGGGTCATCATCGCAGACTGCAGGTAAAATAGAGCAGGAGACATACAGTTCTCCCTCAAGGAGTTCAGTCACAAATTTAATTAACACCTTTTTTTTTTTTTTTTTTAACAAGCATCATCAGCATGGAAGCATGTCCTCTGGAATGGTGGCTGAAGCATGAAGGGGCATACAAATATTTAGCATATCTGGCACGTAAATACCTCACAATGCCGGCTACAAAAGTGCCATGCAAATACCTGTTTACACTTTCTGGTGACATTGTAAATAAGAAGCAGGCAGCATTATCTCCTGTAAGTGTAAACAAACTTGTTTGTCTTTGCGATTGGCTGTACAAGAAGTAGGTCTGAGTGGACTTGTAGGCTCTGAAATTTTACATTGTTTTGTTTTTGAGTACAGTTATGTAACAACAAAAAAATCTACATTTGTAAGTTGCACTTTCACGATAAAGAGATTGCACTACCATACTTGTATGAGGTGAATTGAAAAATACTATTTCTTTTATCATTTTTACAGTGCAAATATTTGTAATCAAAAATAATATACACTTTGATTTCAATTACAACGCAGAATACAATATATGAAAATGTAGAAAAAATTTAAAATATTTAATTTCAATCGGCATTCTATTGTTTAACAGTGTGATTAAAACTGCAATTTTTTTTTAGTTAATTGCATGAGTTAACTGTGATTAATCGATAGCCCTAATAATAGACGCTTATGTACATCTCCTAGGTTGTGTTCTTGGAGATAAGTTAAGGATGAGATAGTCTGTGCTTGGAGACTAAGCAGAGCAGACTCTTCATTTAGTCCTGTTATGATCTTCTTGGGTACCTTAGTATTCAGAAGTTTGAAGAGCTTGCTCCATCATATATCTAAAGCAGTCACCGCAGTGTGCCTGAGAATTGTCCCTTACAGAGATTTGTAAGGCTGCTAAATGGAGTTCTGTTCTTCTGAAAACATAAAGCACTACAAGTGATTAGGACCTTTCCATCTTGGAGTAGCTTTGCACATGAGAACAAACATTCTTCCCTGTATCTTAGCTCTGCTTTATGCTGAACTAGAGTGTGAGGTGCAAGGCTCTGAGAATGCATTGAGAAGGAATCGGGGCAGGGAGGGGGAATATCTGGCAGGAACATTTTGAGAAAGTACAGTGAGCAGCACTTTAGCTTTTGCGGTCTAGTAAGTTAGGGGTCTGAACGTCCAGTTTGAAACACTGAGTGTGCCTGGTGCTACAGGCTGAACTCGAGGCTGGGCTGGCATAGCCCTTGCTTCTCAGTGTAGATAAGTAGAGTTCCATGCATTTAGCTTTGAATTTGTTCAGACAAGAATGAACGATGGAGGCTGTCTACTCTGTATGAGACATCGGAGCCTGCGATGTGTTGTGGAAGAGTAGAGGGCTGCTGCTTCACTGCCTTCCACTCACCAGTTCTTTGTGTTTCCTGTGCCACTGGTGACTGTCCTCCCCCTCAAGGTGGCTGCAGTGCTGTGGTCTTGTATCTGTATCATTTGTAAAGCAGTTTGGTACGAAAGGGGCTGTGAAAACTTAGACTAGCCCAGGCTAGTTGGCTAACTGGGCCAGGCTAAATCGGGCATCTTCTTTAGTGGGGCATCTCCCAGGAAACTAACATAGTCAAATAACAGTGAATGGTAATGATTATAGCTTAATTGTAACAGTGCTAACACAGAGTTCTCCTGACAGGTGGCTGGCAAAGAGGAAAAATAGCTTCTGCCCTTTTCCCCTGAGGTAGGAAAAAAAACCTCCATTATTGCCTCCCTTCTCCACAAAACTTATTTAGTCTTAGAAATATCAAGTATTTTCTTCACTGCATTTGTTTTGGGACTCTTTAGAAGATCAGAGCTGGGAAGGCAGCACTCTGAGCCACGAACTGACTGGCTCGGGGCTACAGTTACAAAGATTTCCCCCCCAGCTGTTGGCCAGATTTGAGTTGAATAGATATTTAAAACTTGTTTTTTAACAAGCAAGACCTAGATGCACAAAGGTACGTAGGTGCCTATATCTGTGGTTTAGGTGCCTAAATCCCAGTTTTGGCTCCAATGCATTCCGCAAAACTCCCACCGAACTCCATAGGCACCTAAATTTGGTGCCTAAGTTTTCAGGGTAGAAGTTGGCAAGGCATCTATGTTTCTGCTGCTGGGCAGGTGCACTGTAGCCTCCCTCTAGGTGCCCAGATGCCTAAGCCCCAGAGCTGTTCACAAACTGGGAGAAGATAAGTGGCCAAACACTTACGTCGTGGGTGGGGCCCACTCTGGTAGGTGTGCTCCGGGCCTGCCTGTCAGGTCAGGTCTAACTCGCAATTTGGCTGGAGGAGGATATGGTGGTAGTTAGTGCCTGACCCGTAACTTTTAGTCCAGTGTTTCGAGCACCCACCTGGGATGTGTGAGACCCAGGTTCAATTCGCTCCTCTACCAGAGGGGAGAGAGGATTTCAACAGGGGGCTCCCACCACTGAATGCTCTAACCACTGAACTGCAGGATAGGCTGATGGGGTCCCCTCAGTCTCTCCCATTGAAGCCGTTCCACTCTGGGTGCCCTAAGCACTGAACTACAGTCATTCCCGCTCTGTCGCCCAGTGACTATTTATGTATCTCTCCACAGTGGAAAGTCGCTGGGCCGGAGAGAGAGAATGACTCTGTAGCCCAGTGCTTAGGGCACCTACTTGAGAGGTGGGAGATGCAGGGTCCAGCCCCTCTGCTCCAATCACTCTGTCATTAGTTATCCAGAGTGGAACTGCTTCAACAGGAGAGACATGGGTCTAGTCTACACTACAGACTGATAATGGTATAACTGTTGCTCAGTGGTGTGAAAAATCCACACCCCTGAGTGACTGGAGTTACACTGACCCAGACCCCGGTGTAGTCAGCGCTCTGATAACAGGGGAGCTTCTCCTGTCACCAGAGCTGCCACCTCTCGGGGAGGTGGATTGGCTACGCTGGCAGGAGAGCCCTCTCCCGTCAGCCTAGAGCGTCTTCATCGAAGTGCTGCAGCGGCACAGCTCCATCAGTGCTGCTGCGTGATGCAGGGTTTTAAGCGTAGACCGGCCCACGTCAGACTATCCCATTGCCCAGTGCTTTGAGCACACTCCTGCGAGCCCCCTGTTAAAATCCTTTCTCCCTCTCTGTGCCGGAGGGGGAGAAGAGCTGAACCTGGGGTTCCCACATCGCAGGTTAGTGCCCTGCCCCCGGGTCTAAAAGTTGCAAGGTGGGCGGCAGCAGCTGCACGTCCTCCTCCTCTGGCTGTTTTGCTTGGAGTGAGGCAGGCACCGGACTCCTCCCGCGGGAAGTGGCTCGGGCGCCTCAGCTGCCTGGCCGCGGAGGCGGATTCCTATCTGTGGATTGCTCAGCAGAGACTTCGGTCATGTCTGTGCTGTGGTGGCATGACTGCAGTGCTGCTGCGCCATAGCACAGACGCGGCTCCGTCCGCGTCGTCAGTCCCCCTCTCTGAGAGGCAGTAGCGAGGTCGACAGGTGTAGGCCAGGCCTCCGGCACCTCTTCCCGAGAGAGGAACAGGGCCTAGCACACACCTCTCTGGTCAGCATCTCCCCTTGGCTAGCTTAGGTGGGGAGCTGCCTAGCATGCTGGCTTTTGTGGCTCCCATTCTGAGTCACCTCTCTCTCCCCATTGATTGTATAGGGAGCCTAGGTGTCTGACTCAGGCTTTGTGGATTGCAGCGTTGTTTACATGACGTTTTTTTCCCCTTAGGCGCCTAAAAGATATATCTGATGCTCAGCATTGCAACGCCTCGGGCTACATCTCCACTACAGTTTATGTCAGCGTAACTTCTGTCGCTCAAGGGGATGAATAAATCGCCTCTCTGAGCACCAGAAGTTACCGCACCAGTGTGGACAGCGCTATGTCAGTGAGAGAGCTTCTCCCGCCGACACAGCTACTGCCTCTTGCAGGGGCTGTAGTAGTTAAGGCAATGGGAGAACTCTCTCCTCTCGGCTTAGAGCAGCTACATTAGAGAGCTTACAGCAGGGCGCCTGCATCCATGCTGCTGTAAACTCTCTACTGTAGCCGTGCCCTCAATCACTTTGTGGTTCCCACCCTAAATTCCTTCCCATTGCAGTCACTCAAGCCATATCTACACTGCACTTTGTCATTAAAACTTTTGTTGCTCAGGGGTGTGCGTGCAAAAAACATTCCCCCTGGACGACAAAAGTTTTAACGACGAAATGTGCCTGTGTGGACAGCATTTTATTGGTGGGAGCCGCTCTCCCATTGACAACGCTACTGCCCTTCATTCAGGGTGGTTTTATTTTGTCGCCAGGAGAGCGCTCCCCCAGCGACAAAAAGTAGCTACGCTGCGCACCTTACAACAGCACGCCGTTGTAAGGTGCACAGTGTAGACATAGCTTCAGGCTTTACCTCTACTGTCCACAGTGATTGTCCTCTCCCTGCACTGCCAGTCACCTTGGGAGTCCTCCAGAGGAAATGAAATCTGATTTTTCCAATGTACAAACAAACAGCCCTCCTCTCCCATTCTTTTTCCCCCCCACGAAAAAACATTCTGGCACCTTTTATATAATAAACAAGCAAAAAAAGCAGAATCTCTCCTCTGCCAGCACCTTAATGGTGATGAATTTATCTCCTGTATTTACATGGTAATTAAGGTGTGGAATTCTATGTTCTGCCCTTCAATGCGCAAGATGTTAAATAGACTAGGGTATAATATTCCTGGGCACTCAGGAACCCTGTGTCAAGTTTGCACTTGCAGCCTGACTCTGGAATACTTGATTTCCCAGCCCTAGCTTTGCTGTATGGATTTTTTTGTTTTGTTTTGCATGGAATATTCTGCTATACAGTATGTAGTGTGTGTATATGTATGTATATACATATATATAGCCAAGATTTTCCAAAAACAGGTGTCTGAAATTTGCCTGATTATGTGGCATGATTTTTAAAGTGACTTCTAATGAGAACTCCTGAGTTCTCATATTTTGGAAATCTCGCTATGTATTTACTAACGTAATTCTAAGCACCCATTTTTGAGCAACACGACCTAGATTTCTCACTGTCTTTTTCTGCTTAATGACTTACCATTCAATATATGTCCTCTTTCCCGGCAGTGTTGTCCTAGTGAAGCTCACGGAGGATGGAAAAGTATGTGTCTCAGTCATCTTGGGTCACGCTGTACAGGAAGTTGAAATAGTGAATGAAGGGGATGATGAAACGAAGGAGCGGCTTGCTCACCTATTCATGCCAGAAGAGAGCAGAGCTTATGGCCACGAAGAACTGGAGAAGAGGAAGAGCAGCCTGAAGACTTGGCTGGAGACCAATCACATCCCTGTAACAGAACAAGGCGAGTCACAAAGAACACTGTGTGTGGCAGGTGTATTAACTATCGACCCGCCATATGGGCCAGAAGACTGTAGCAGCTCCAATGAAATTATTCTATCTAGAGTCCAGAGCTTGATACAAGGCCACCTTGCATCGCAGTAGTAATGGACAAGTTGACAAACGCTTCTCATCTAAAACTCTTCTATTTCAAACAGGAGGAGGTGCTCTTTTCCCCTTAGATTAAGAATTGTTCTATGCTATTGGTTGACTTGATTTTCACTGACTGATGTGAGGGTGAGCAGTACTGTTGTGCATTAGCCACTCTGGCTGATTCTGTATGTGAAGGAACAGATGGTGGAACAGTCTTATAACTGAAAGCAGGAAGCATTTGTACTACCTAATATTTTGTATAAAAAAAGTTATTTGGTATGAATGACATTTTATTCTATGGAATCCTAATTCTTTATCTAACACTGTCTCATATGAAAGATGGAGTTGATGAATCTTGTCTTCCTGGCTGTGTCCATCCTCTGTGTCTGCCTCTTAATTGCCTCTCCTCCTACCTGTGGATGATATAAAGATTGGTGGTGTGGTAAATACTGAGGAGGACAGGACAGTAATATGGCACAATCTAGATTGCTTGGAAAGCTGGTCCCATTCAAACAAAAAGTATTTTAATACAGCCACATGCAAAATTATTCATTTAGGGACATGGAATGCAGGCCCTCCCTACAGAAAGCAGCGCCTCTGAAAAAGATTTAGGGGTCATTGTGCAAAAGCAACCCGAGCTCCAAGGGCAATTGTGTGGCAAAGAGGGCTAATGTGATCCTCGGATGTATAAATAGGGGAGAAGTGAGTAGAAGGAGGGAGATGATTGTACCTCTGTATGTGGCATGGATGAGACCGATATTGGAGTACTACATCCAGTTCTGGGGTCCACATTTTAAAAAACAGTTGAAAAATTGGAGAGGATGCAGAAAAGAGCCACAAAACGTTATTTGGGGCTGGAGAAAATGCTGTAGAGAGACGGACTTAAACTAAACAGATTGAGCTCTTTATCAAAAGAAGGTTGAGGTTATGTCTTTCATTGGAGAGTTAGCCCAGGCTCTTATCCAACCCGCCTCCCAGTCACACATTCACAACCCTCTCAGCTGAGCTAAGTAGTGCTTTCCATCTGGGCTAGCTGGCCTGGTTGGGGGTTTAGGCTGGAGCTCAGCTTTCATTTGGGCTGGAAATTTGCCCACTTTGCAGTAAGGACACAGGCTAAGTCATTTGAGTGCTGACAGTCTTCCAGTGCTTTACCACAATTCCACCCATTTGCCCAGGACAGACAAGTTCTCCCACAATTCACTCGGAACAAATCAGTGCCACAGCTTACTGCAGAATAAAAAGCCATGGGAAGTCCTACTGATGCAGGTGCATGAGTGCAGAACCAGTGAGGACATGGTAACTTGGGTAGGGCTGAGTTGTGAGACTGTACCTGGGGTAGGCTGACCTAGGGGCCAATCTCTGAGTCAATTGCGTAGTGTGTGAGAGGCAACTTGATTACAGTGTGTAAGTATCTTTACAGGAAGAAAATATCAGATACTAAAGGGATTTAATCTAGCAGAGAAAGGCATAACAAGAACAAATGGCTGGAAGTTGAAGCTACACAAATTTCCTAACCTAATTTCCTTCTTTGATAGTGTTACTACGGCCCTCCATCCACTAAGCCACCAACCCTGTCAAAAATTAGGGTGGTTCGGCATGATTTGTTCTTGACAGGGTCAGATAAAAAGCTTGTCTCTCTCACCAAGAGAAGTTGATCCAGTAAAAAAGATTACCTCATCAGCTGGTGTGTCTCAGCAAGGATACTGACATTTAAACTTTCATAGGCTTCAGAGCTATTTCAATCCCTTATCCAGGGTTTGAGCCAAAATCCTTTAAAATTATTGGAATCCATTGATTTCAATTGGCTTTGAATCAGACTCCCATTAAAATAAATAGGGCATTTCACATTCCTTTCACTGCAATTGTTTGTGTATCTGACTCTGACATCAGTTTACTGATTCATTTTGAAGATTAATTTAAAATAATCACTTAAATTCTATATTAAATGAAAAACCAGAAAGGAATACAGTATTAATTAGGCTTTCATTATTCTTTCTTGTACCTTTTAAAATATGTAATCTACATAATTCTAGATCAGTTCCTAATTACTCTTCTTCAGTACAATCACAGCTGAGAAGGTTCATCTGTGACAAGCCTTTTTTTTTTATGGGTGTTATGTCCAGGAGCAGAAATATCTTTTACTTATTTTCAGTCCCAAAATTATTTTTTTTAAGTTAGATGAAACGCCCTTGGCTTGTTTAGAGCTATGGCACATGAAATAACAGGGGTGCTTTTCACCATGGAAAACCCTGATGCAGTAGACATTTACACGCTTCACTCAGCACAGGTGACTGCAGCAGATTCTACAGGACTCTGAAGTGTCCTGTCTCAAGCCATGCAACAGGATGCCCATCATTTCTTCAAACAAGTCAAAGACAGAAGTTCTCATTTAGGACTAAAGCCCCTGTTCTGCTGTTGGATCTGCATTACCCACCGGACTTGCTCACCCCGACCCAACTACAGGAGCAGAGTCTCGGGCCGGGCAAACGTGAACTAGCAGAAAGAAGCTGTTAACCCAGTAGGTGTGAACCGAGTACAGAACATGGCTGAAAAAATGTCTCCGCTCCCTACCCGGGAAATATTTAGGCACTTGCATAACTTTAAATGGGTCCTGCTGACGGCCCCCCCCCAGCTCTACTGGAGTCTATCCCTTGCTCCCCCATGCCCCAATGGAGCTCTACGGGGGGCCAGCCCCCTATCCCAGGAGGGGGGGCCAGCCCCCGATCCCAGGAGAGGGGGCCTAGCCTCCTGAGCTCTACTACAGCCCAGCCCCTGCCTCACCCTCCATAGCTTTACTGGGGTTCAGTCCCCCCATACCCTAGGGGAGCTCTAATAGGGCCCTAGCCCCCTGCATGGCTCTATTGGGGCCCAGCCCCACATAGCCCTACTGGGGCTCAGGCCCCCCCACATGCCCCAGAGGAGCTCTAATGGGGCCCAGGCCCTAGCTCCCCACATAGCCCTACTGGGGCTCAGGCCCCCCACATGCCCCAGAGGAGCTCTAATGGGGCCCAGGCCCTAGCTCCCCACATAGCCCTACTGGGGCTCAGGCCCCCCACATGCCCTAGGGGAGCTCTAATGGGGCCCAGGCTCCTAGCTCCCCCATAGCTCTATGGGGGTTCAGTCCCCCCATACCCCAGGGAAGCACTAATAGGGCCCTAGCCCCTCCCATGGCTCTAGTGGGGCCCAGGCCCCCCACATGCTCCAGGGGAGCACTAATGGGGCCCAGCCCCCTAGCCCCCCCATAACCCAGGGGAGCACTAATGGGGCCCAGGCCCCCCCCATGGCTCTAGTGGGGCCAAGCCCCCCCCATACCCCAGGGAAGCACTAATGGGGCCCAGCCCCCTAGCCCTCCCCATGGCTCTAGTGTAGCCCACCCCCCCATACCCGAGGGGAGCGCTAATGGGGCCCAGCCCCCCCCATGGTTCTAGTGGGCCGAACCCCCACATGCCCCAGGGGAGCACTAATGGGGCCCGGCCCCCTAGCCCTCCCCATGGCTCTAGTGTAGCCCACCCCCCCCATACCCCAGGGGAGCGCTAATGGGGCCCAGCCCCCACATGCGCCAGGGAAGCACTAATGGGGCCCCGCCCCCTAGCGCTCCCCATGGCTCTAGTGGGGCCCAGCCGCCCCCCACCCCAGGGAAGCGCTAATGGGGCCCAGCCCCCCCCCATGGCTCTAGTGGGCCGAACCCCCACATGCCCCAGGGGAGCGCTAATGGGGTCCGGAGCCCAGCCCCCTAGCCCCCCCATGGCTCTAGTGTAGCCCACCCCCCCCATACCCCAGGGGAGCGCTAATGGGGCCCAGCCCCCCCATGGCTCTAGGGGGCCGAGCCCCCACATGCCCCAGGGAAGCGCTAATGGGGCCCGGGGCCCAGCCCCCTAGCCCCCCCATGGCTCTAGTGTAGCCCCCCCCATACCCCAGGGGAGCGCTAATGGGGCCCAGCCCCCCCCATACCCCAGGGAAGCGCTAATGGGGCCCGGGGCCCAGCCCCCTAGCCCCCCCCATGGCTCTAGTGGCCCCCGCGGGAGCGCTAATGGGGCCCAGCCCCCACATGCCCCAGGGGAGCGCTAATGGGGCCCAGCCCCCCCCATGGCTCTAGTGGGCCGAACCCCCACATGCCCCAGGGGAGCACTAATGGGGGCCCGCCCCAGCCCCCCCATGTCCCCCCCATGCCCCAGGGGAGCGCTAATGGGGCCCAGCCCCCACATGCCCCAGGGAAGCGCTAATGGGGCCCAGCCCCCACATGCCCCAGGGAAGCACTAATGGGGCCCAGCCCCCTAGCGCTCCCCATGGCTCTAGTGGGGCCCAGCCGCCCCCCACCCCAGGGGAGCGCTAATGGGGCCCAGCCCCCCCCCCATGGCTCTAGTGGGCCGAACCCCCACATGCCCCAGGGGAGCGCTAATGGGGTCGGGCCAGCCCCCATGGCCCCCACCCCCCCCCCCAGCAGGGCCCCACAGGGACCCACCAAACCCCCCCAGGCAGCACCATCCCAGGGTAGCGCTAATGGGGTCCGGAGCCCAGCCCCCTAGCCCCCCCATGGCTCTAGTGTAGCCCACCCCCCCCATACCCCAGGGGAGCGCTAATGGGGCCCAGCCATGGTAGGGGGGAGCCCCCACATGCCCCAGGGGAGCACTAATGGGGGGGCCCCGCCCCTAGCGCTCCCCATGGCTCTTACCCCCCCATAAGAGTGGGGCCCAGCCCCTGCCCCCCCCCCCCACCCCAGGGGAGCGCTAATGGGGCCCAGCCCCCCCCCATGGCTCTAGTGGGCCGAACCCCCACATGCCCCAGGGGAGCACTAATGGGGCCCGGGGCCCAGCCCCCTAGCCCCCCCATGGCTCTAGTGTAGCCCCCCCCCATACCCCAGGGGAGCGCTAATGGGGCCCAGCCCCCCCCATGAGGGCCGAACCCCCATGCCCCAGGGAAGCGCTAATGGGGCCCGGGGCCCAGCCCCCTAGCCCCCCCATGGCTCTAGTGTAGCCCACCCCCCCCCATACCCCAGGGGAGCGCTAATGGGGCCCAGCCCCCCCATGGCTCTAGGGGGCCGAGCCCCCACATGCCCCAGGGGAGCACTAATGGGGCCCGGGGCCCAGACCCCTAGCCCCCCATGGCTCTAGTGTAGCCACCCCCCCATACCCCAGGGAAGCGCTAATGGGGCCGGGGCCCAGCCCCCTAGCCCCCCCATGGCTCTAGTGTAGCCCCCCCCCCATGCCCCAGGGGAGCGCTAATGGGGCCCAGCCCCCACATGCCCCAGGGAAGCACTAATGGGGCCCCGCCCCCTAGCGCTCCCCATGGCTCTAGTGGGGCCCAGCCGCCCCCCACCCCAGGGGAGCGCCGTGCTCCCCCCAGAGCGGACAGG